TTAGATATTTTACATTTGAAAGCATTGTAATGTTCACTGATAATCAGCCAAAGGTCGTTAACATTTACTTGCTAATGTAAAGTTATAGCGTGAAAATTATAACAAGCACTAAATGGTTATGAGATCGGTCCCAGGGACCGAGCCTGTGCTGAAAGAGTTAAACAGTTATATTCAACCAAAAATGCCCTGCACTCTAACAAAAATTCAAATGCTTTTTATTTTTCCCTCAAGGATAATCACTTTGTTTTTAATGGTCATCTTTATGACCAGATAGACGGAGTGATGATGGGATCACCTCTAGGTCTGACCCTTGCAAATATTTTTCTTTATTATTATGAACGTTCTACTTTAGGACTGATATTTTAGTCAAAGATAACACACCAAATATAGTGAAAGTAATTTGTGGCTGTAAAAATGTGCCTTTAATTTAGGATTGACATGTTTCTTTATTTTTCTGGAACATAATTAGACCCTCAAAGTCTAAATTCAGTCTGTTCCTTGCAAGGTACAATGCAGTCTGCACAGCCGACAAGATGGCATCCTTAACTTGCTAAACACGTTACTTGCTCTTAACATGGTTGCATTTCTTGGACTTGTTTAGCAGCAGTATGATATTTTAAATGGCTCTGTTTGGTCGTATCTTTCAGGATATCTCGGCAGCCTTTTATAAGAGCATTGCTTTTGTTTGCAGCAATGGGATAACTATAGATCATCTCATAATTTTCAGTACTGTAGACAACTCATGGATATAGTTTTTAATAAGTCTGAACTTTTGTCAATGTTTTATTATTCTTTTACCTGACACATTTGAATCTTGTTTTTTTCTATGGGGTTATGTTGTTCACTTTCTTGAACTGTTGGTATTTCATTCCTACTGTATGTGAAGAAAGAGTTGATTTTTTCTGTGACTTTTTTCAATACGAAGCCCTTTGATTTATCACTATATGGCATATCTTTTCAAGTTAGAGAGAGAAAGAAGAAAAAGCTGAGCTCTTTGGAATGTTGGTAGTAACATTTAACAATTTTTCACAAATTACAAATTGTTTTGGTTTATAATTTTATCATTCCTTCCGTCATATTATTATATTGTGTTTAAATTACAAAATGGTACTGAATTAATATTGCAAGTAAATTGGCATGCAAACAAAAACAATTGTCACTAATGATAATTAACCTGATTTTTTCTTTGTCACTTTCAAAAAATTTTGTTAAATGACAAGCAACAGTGAAAACTGGTGGAAGTTTTGCCACATCTTAATGTATCAAACTGTTTTCTGCTCTGTATAGAACAATCAGTAACTTATTAATCATGTGTAAGTTAAAAAATACTGAAAAAAAAACAAAATATCGAAGTAGACTAAATATTAATATATTTTTCAATACAAAATGCAACCTTTATAATGCTAGCTATTTCAAACAACCCTAAATATGACCTGGTGGCTAGTTTGTTGGACTGAGGATCTGAAGGTCTTTGTTTGAAAACCTGGTGCTATTAAACATGCTTTGCCTTTTCAGCCTTAAATGCATTATAAAAGTATCTGTTTATCACACTGTTCAGTTTAGGGTAGTTGCTTTAGGTATCATGTGCTGTGGACTGGTTGCTTTTCTTATTGTCAACAAATCAAAATTAGCGTTGGCTATGCCTGAACCACAGGAATCGCTGACATGGCTGTTTAGCTCGTTATGTGCATAAGATGTCATTCAGGTAAACAGACAATTTCTAACCAAAGCTAAGAAATTTAAAATTAGTATGAAATGAAATGTACAGTTTTGTTTAAGTTTGTGTCTTAATTTGGCATACAAACATTGAAGTTAAAAAAAAATACATTTTTTTTTATATAGGTTACAAGACACAGAAGCAGCTCTTTCGGCTCTAAGACTGGCTTGCAAAAACTTGGAACAAACGATAATTGAACAGGAGTCAGCAAACCAAGTAAGTATGTTCACTTACAACAAACAGTACTTGAACATGAGTTAGCTAGCCAAATAGAACACATAGCACTAGAACAGGAGTCAGCAAACTGAGTAAATATGTGCACTTACAACAAACAGTGCTTGAACACGAGTTAGCTAGCCAAATAAGCAGATACAGTTAGAACACATAACACTAGAATAGGAGTCAGCTAACCAAGCAATATGAAAAGAAGTTTGCAAGTGAAGTAGATATTCTTAGAATAAAACAGTGTTAGATGAGAAGATTAAAAGTATGCCAAATTTTCAATTATTTTTAAATAGCAGTGGAAAAATAAATTTAATATATTAATAATGTTAGTTAGAAAAACAAACAAAGTATATAATTTCGGGAAAAAACAAATTTAGTACAGGAATTATTTTGAAGTGTCTGAATAAGTGAAAAATCAAATTTGATCATATGCTTATGCTTACTGGGCAGTTGCTGTAATCAAATAAGCCATTAAGTCCCAATGATACTAGCCTTATTCTTACTCAGTGTTTTATTAAACTAGAAAATTCAATTATCCTTAGTTGATGTCTGTCAGCTTTCAAAGTTTTGGATTCATTTATTGCTATTTTATGTAAACTTATGATGGTTTAAAAGCTGTTACTTGGTCAGTTTTTGCAGAAGTTATTTCAGTTATTTAGATCTAGATCAGACTAGTAATACTAACCAACTACCAAAATACTGAAAAATCAGAGATTCTAGCTCATGACTTGCTCTTTAAATAAAAAAAGGGATAATACCATAAAAATGTGAAACAGAATAGCTCAAACTCATAACTTGCTTCTCGACTGACTGTTGAAGTACTCAAGTGAAATGTTGAACACCAGATTATTTCTAACTTGTGAATGTACAATGTACTTTGTGGCTTACTATGTAAATAGACTTGGTGAATTGTAGCAAATTACCTGCTTAAAAGCTACTTGCAAAAACAGGAAGAAAATATTGTATTCTCTTGTTAGTAAACATCTAAATTTGACTGTACAGTAAGTACATAACATCAGAACAAATAGTATTAGAACAGAAAACTTTTGATTTCAGCTTCAGTTGTAGTAAGTGGTACTTATATTCTGATAGAAGCTACACAGGCAAATTTTAAAAGAGGTGTCTATATACTTCTAATATATGTTACCTAGATACTGAAAGATGAATATGAAGCTCTCCAACTGGCTTTCTCAAGCTTAGAGCAGAAACATCAAAAACTGGAAAAGGATCACAGTGACCTGATAACAAGGTGGATGGCTCACAAAGCAAAAGATGCAGATAGATTAAATGCTGAAAATGAAAGGGTAGTAAGGTAAAAGTCTTTGGATCTTGCACTTAATAAGAATAAAATTTGCAGTAGTTGTGACTATAATGGCATATCTTTTGATTGTGAAATCTGTTACAAAAACTCAAATGTGCTAGAATAATGTAGTTATTTGCAAAAGCAAAATTCTTGTATTTCGTAGTTACAAAGTTTATTTATTTATTTGTTTCTATTTTTTTTTTAGTTTTAAATATGAAAAAAATTGTCTTACTTAGTAATAAAATATAGAAGTGCAGTTTGAACAATAACCAAAAGTTTTGTTGGAACTTGTATTTATTTTATTGTTGTTCGTTTTTTGTCTGAGTGTTTATGTATCTAAAACAAAATGTAGAAATACTTTTGTATTACTTCTCAGAATGTAATGTGTTAGCTGACGAGTTTTAATAGCTAACTTTGAGCTTGCTAATATAAAGAAAATTTCTGTTTTGTGTTTTTTTATAAGTACAGTCTTTTGTATATAGGGTAAAACAAGCACAACTTCAAAAAGAATTAGAAGAAGCAGCTAAAGAACCTGTTGTTGTGAAAGGAGATTAGTAAGTCTTGTAAATATATAAAAGATCTATCTTGATAATTTAAATAACTGAATGTTAGAGTAGCTCAAAAATATTTTAACCTTACCCTAATCTTTTACACAGTAAAGAAAAATACTTTAGTGTAAAACGATTTTGTAAGTCTTGTAATGTTACATTTGTTCCTTACTTGATAAAAGCTTTGTTGTCAGAAGATTTTAGTAAGCCTTGTAAGCTTACATTAGTCTCTTACTTGATAGATCAATAGATTGTTAGAAGATTTATTTAAGACTTGTAGTTTTACCTTAGCTTCTTACTGAAGATTTTGGTTAAGTCTTGTACCTTTACCTTAGTTTCTTACATGATATATTAATAGTTTGTTAGAAAATTGTAGTAAGCCTTGTAAGCTTACATTAGTTTCTTACTTAAAGTACACTACTTTCCAAAGTTTTAAATTCATCATAGAAACTAGGAATAATAGTACAAGGTTTACTAAAATCTTCTCAAGACAAAACTCAAGTAAGAAACTGTAGCACAGTTAAAAGACTTACTAAAACCATCTGACAGAGCTTTTCAATATATAAAGTATGAAACTACAATAAAATAACAAGATTTACTGCAATCTTTTAACAAGCAATTAATATACCAAGTAAGAAACTAAGGTAAAGCTACAAAGTCTAAAATCTTCTAACAACCTATTAATGTATCCTGTAGAGGATGTGCAATCTCGATACCAGAGAGGTGGTGTCTTACATGAGGTCTGATGTTTCTTCTCCTATGGGCTTAGAGGCTGAACTTGTGGGGAGCAGATTGGTGAGAATTTGGACTCTATATTTTTGGCTCCATCCTTTGTGCAGATAGCTAATCACGAGCCTCAGATGGACATCCCTCCTCCTGCATCGTTTTTTGCAACTATTACATCAAGTTTGTGGTGTCTTGATATTTCTCTGTGGCTTATGACTTTTCCATCTTTGTAGGGTGCAAGTCATTTGGCTGATTACCTAGAGTTGTGCATTGTTGTGCTCAGAGATTGTGGCTCAATTGAGAGAGGCTGCTGTCATGCCTTGTCCTCTCTGTTTATTGGATCAGCATGCCTTATCTCTCCATCGATTGAAGGACTCATATTTAGATTCTCAGATATTCATTTTTGCAGGTATTCCTCATTCCTTGAAATCTCGAGTGGATGTGGCCCATTTCCAATTTTTTCTTTAGGCACTGGCCTCCCACCTTTTCCAGTCTTCTACATGAAGGTTTACTGCATCTCCCAATCAGGTTTCCAGACCTCCTACATTGATTCCACCTTCTATCAGAACACAAGAGAGATTCTACCCATATCAGCGGATATCCTATGTTTGTATAGAGTGCCAACAATGGCAAAGGTGACTATCCTATGGGATCTGGTTATGTGGGCTCAACTCAGATGGTTCGGGTCTGTATGGGAGACCTTCACCTCAATCAGTGGGTCATTTCAGGTTCTTACCAAAGGGTTGGTTCTTCATTTCACATCTCTTGTCTTTCCCCTACCCAAAGATTGTCTTACATCCAATCATTGAATGCAAGATATCCAGGATCTTCTGCTCAAAAAAACTATAGTGTGTGTTGACTACTCTCTTGAGGGTTTTTATTCCAACTTGTTTATAGTAACAAAGAAGACAGGAGATTGGGGACCTGTCATCTACTTTTCTCATCACGTTCATTTTCTCCAGCCTCCTAGGTTTATAATGGAGTTATTTCTTTCCCTCCAGTGGCACTTTGCACCTGGTTTATGGATGACAAAGTTGATGTCGCTGATGCCTACCTTCATATTTCAATTGCAGAGTCTTCTTGTTGGTATCTCCATTTTGTGCACAAGACAGGTTTTTCAGTTTCGTGCTCTACCATTCAGCCTCACATCCATCCCATACGTCTTTTGCCGGATAGTCAAATCCTTTTCACATCATCTTCACTCAATAGGCATTCACACTCACCATTATATCTTGCACCTTCTGCCATTTGGCAGAGCTTCACACTCAAGCTCTTTTATTGGAAGCTGTGAGAGCTGGGTTTCTCATCCAAATAGAGACGTTTATTCTAACTCCCACAAAGTACCTCGTCCATATAGGGGTATTTTTCAATTCATGTCTCAGTTGGGCCCAACCTTCTTCTCTACATTTTCAGGCCTTGGAATGAGCCATTCTTTTAATACCTTTGTTTCCTTCTCCACCAGAGCATGTAGTTCATTCTCTTTTGGGGATGTGGCCATCCATGGAATCATCCATTTCTTTGGTTCTGGCTCACATATGCTTCCTTCATTGGTCATTACAGGACCATTGGAACATTTGCAAGGATGCACTGGATTGTCTGGTGACTATCAGCATCCACCCCACTCAATCTTGGCTGGTGGTTGTACAAGGACAATACAACAGTACATGTCCCTTTCCTGTCCTCACGTCCTGAGATACATTTTTTCACGGTTGTTTCTCTCCAGGGATGGGGAGCTTGTGAAGGGATATGGAATTCAAAGACCTCTGGACAGAACAGGAATCTCCTCTCCACATCATTCTTTTAGAGCTTCTAGCAGTTCGGCAAGCTATCCTTTTGACTTTGAAATTGTTGCGAGGGAAGGTGGTAATGCTTCACGTGGACAATTCCACGATGGTCTCCTACATTTCCAAGCAAGGGGTTACTCACTCCAGGTCTCTCTGTTTTCAGACATTGAGCTTCTCTCTTGAGCCCACAATCATCAGAATCTTTTACTTGTTTGTCATGGTTATGAATTTGGTGGCTGATAAGTTATCTCATCCCAACAAAGTTCTTCCCACAGAATGGATGCTTTATCCACAAGATTTTCATTGGATTTGCTCTCATCTCAGGATGCCTCAGTTCATTGCTTTCACCAGTCACTGGAATGCCCAGCTCCCAACCTTCTGGTCTTTTGCCACTCACCTTCTAGCTTTGGGTGTAGATGCTCTTGGCCAAGATGGGACGGTTCTTCATTTGAGATTTGTGTTCACAGGACTCTTTACTATTCCACTTATGTTCTATTGTATCCCAATAGGTCCTTTCTTCCCAAAATTTCAGTGGCTACAGAAGGTAAGGCTTTCTTTCCTATTAATCTTTCCTCCATTTCCCATTTTATGAATGCTCAAATCCGAATCATTTTTTTTATGCTCAATTCAGGCTCTTTGATGTTCTGTTGTAGGCATTGAAAGGTTTCAGGGTTGATATAACTGTTTGTTTATCCATTGATATCCTAAGGTGTCATGTGACTTATCCCCTGTCACTTTGACAGGTTGGGTTCATCAATTCGTGTGAATTGCTTACTCTGGACTTTCATTGGAGGGATGGAAACTTTTTCAGGTCTCATCTCATCACATTTGCCATATCTCGATGTCCCTGGCAGCTCGGTTACATAGCCTGCTGGAGAGGATTATACAGGCTGGTATGTGGACCATGCCTAATACGTTTATATCTCATTAGTTACATGATTTAGTGGTTGCCTCATCAGAAGGTTTTCGGCCATTCTCCATGCCCCAGCTCATTTGTACAAGAGGTGAGTAACTTCATTTCTTTTGTGTTTTCTTTTTCAGGGTCCGTCTCATCATTTTCTTTGATAAACCACTCTGTAGCAAGTGTTGCCTTGTCAAGTATGCATATTTCCAAATCCACACTAGCTACCAGTCAACCAATCAATAATTTTCCTGATAGCAACAAGCTCTGTTGAGATGGGGTGTTCCATAAGACCACCTTGTGCACTTCTCAGGTAGAACACAATTATAACACAAAAACAAATGCACTACTGGACCACCACTCATGGACTATCATGAGTAAAGCTTAAGGGAGTTTTGCCCATTCATGCTGACCCCTAGATTGAATAAATCAGCATCATTTTTCTTTTCAAAATAGGGAATGCACCAATTGCACTGTCTCTGGAGCATGCAAGTATCGCCACCCCACCCCCCATTTCTCCTAGTTGAGTTTAGGAGTCCTTACCACTCCTGGTTTCCAGTTGCTTGAGTGATGGACAGAGGTTTACTCCTCCTGAGTGATTTTTTGTATTCATTATTCTACTCAAGGAGAAGGGGGCAAAGCTGGGTGCCTTCCTACCACTTACACTAGATGTTTTTTCTAAATGTATGGTAGGAGCAGGACCAGTTTACGTGGGGTGCCTTCTCATAATTCCAGTTCAGAGATTACTCTTCACTATCTGGTTGGGTTATGTGTGGTCTCTCTTTTTGGTCATTCTCTTTATTTTGATGATTGTGGAAGTGGGTCCTCGATTCCTCATAATTCTGCACATGAAACGTTACTTCCTTTGCCATTGATTGAACTTTGTTTGTTCCACATTCTCCTTGTAATTCTGGGGGTAGGAGGTTTGACTTGCCTCTCAGGTTGGGGAGTTAGGATTTTTGGTTTGTAATCCCAGACTGGGTAATCTCTGTTTCTTCAGGTTGAGAGAGGCATGACAGGTCCCATAATCCTGAGTTCCATTTTTTGCATTTTGTGCTTTTTCAAGTTTGCCCACTTTGTTGTTGCTTGCATTCTCTTCGTAATTTCAGTGGCTCGACATACAATATTCTGTAATTTTCAGGTTGGTTTCTAATGATATCACATTGCTAAACAAGAACAAACAATACAACAGTCCTCATGCCCTAGCCACTACACCTTGGATCTCGATTAGGGTCCATAGTCTTATAATTGAAAAAATGAGACATGGGACTTCGTCTACCTGGTTGGGGCCTGGACAAATACATGTTCTTCTAAAGTTAAGATTTTGCATCTGTGGCCAGTCAGCCTTTACTGCCTGAGAACTGTATTTAATGTGGTACTGGTGAAGAGCATACCTGTTCCATAAGTAGTGCAGACCCCACTGGTATGCTATTGCTATATCTCATTTTTGCACACCCCTTTTCTATGCAGAAGCTTTCTCTGTGGACCTTGGCTTCTTCCATCTTGTCAGTGTAGGATTCTTGCTAATGTGTGAGAGGAGGAAAGTGTGTTTTGGAAGTTAACATTTTCCTATACTGAAAATGTATTTCAAATAATACTTACCTCCTCTTCCACCCTTCCTCCCCATGAAATGGCTGGTTTGGGGTCTGTTATTTTGGACTGTCTCCAAATGTGAATAGGAGGTAATAACAGGAAGCTTGTATATAGATCTGGTATAGGGGGCACATTGACATAAGCGGAGAGGATCACAAGATATAAATCACTATGGGCGAAATATTGGGTTATAAAGGCTGGAGCATATGAGGTAAGATTCATACTAGTGCTTAGATGGGCAGAGAAGAGAAACTTTCATCGGGATAAAGCTAAGGTATGAGAAGAGGTAAATATTATCGGGAATACATTTTCAGTATAGGAAAAGGTTAACTTTCATCATAAAAATTGTCATTCTCTTAAACTCAAACATTTATTGTTATATTAAAGAATAACCAATTTATTAGTTAACAGATTTTTTTCAGTTAAAATTAGGTATGCAAGATAAAAATAATGCTGTTTAAAGAGCTATTTATGATCGCCGGTTTTTTTGTAACATTACCTGTAATGCAGTAATGTGTCTGAATTGTAAAGTATCTATGAACTTTATGAAACATAACTGTTGAGTTTGTTTGTTTTTTTTTACAAAGGGCAGTATTTAGACAGTAATTTATTAATTATTATGATTTTGTTAATCATTAGTAGCTGTTAACTAAATTACAAAGCTAAAGTAGACTGCTGAACTTTGTAACACTTACTTTTAAAATGGGTTTTAATTTATCTTTGTTAATTATATAAAAATTAAAATATTATATTAAAACTCATGTATTTTTGTTTGAAAGCTAATTTTATGCGAGTCAGTCCTCTTTATTTTCCTGAAAATTTGATTAATTGTTCTGAAGTTTAGGAGCACCTGCAGTACTTTTCTAAATGTATGATTAGAATAAAGAGAGAAAGAAAGCAAATACATTTACACAGAGCACTGGGGACACAAGACTTAGTTTGTTTATTTTGTTGTATGTTTCAGTTTGAAGTCTGCACCAGTTTGTATTGCTGCATCAGTTCCTAACAAGATGCTGTTTAAGTTTGTAAGTGTAAAATATCCTAGAAAAATTAAAGAAAATTTCATAAACTGATGAAGAGTAAACAGTTGTAAAAGTTATGATTTAATTGCTGAAAGCCAGTAAACTGTTGGAAACCAGTAGGCCTTAAAATTGCTCTAAAAACAAGTTAACTGCAGATGATGATGTTTTTTTTTAACTTCCTCTTAATTTGTCCTTAGTGGCTCAAAATAAAAAATGTGTAAAAAACAGATAAATTAAAGAGGAATATTGGAAAAACATCTGCAGTTAATTTGTTTTCACAACAAAAGTGAACTAACTTTTGATTGGATCTAAAGTAAAGTAGGATTAAAATATACATTAAAGAAAGTCATATATAAACAAACTGACTAGAAATACATGTACTTAATGTTAAGCCCCAAAAAGCTAAAACCAGTTGTGATAAGATTACATTGAATTATCACTTGAGTACCCTCAATATTAATGTTGATGATGTGAAGTTCATATATTAAATGTTGTAGGTACAGAATTTGAAGTTCAGATGACACAGTATTAGATACAAATAAATACATTTTTACATTTACTTATATAATCTTAATCTACAGATATTCACTTAATAGTAAAATATTATATTTACACTTGGTTCTAATGTTTACATTTTGACTCATAGCAGTTATAGGTCAGCCCTAGAAAATGCAAGTAAATAATGAAATTACAACGTTTACTCAAAGATCACATGTATTCAGTGTTATATCTGAAACTTTGCTTGACACGGGAGAGAGCGGTTAACATAAAGGGTTTCATTAACCTAAGATTATTGTCAGATTTTGTGGACCTTATCAGCATATTATGTTCTTATTCCAAAACTGTTTATGTGCCAAATTGTTTGTGGCTTCATGACTTTGTTGACTATGAGACACAAACAAAATTAAGGAAAATTTTCCTTAATACTGCAATTAATGCTACCAATTTTGCTGGAATCCACTTTGTATTTTATATTGAAAATGAGTGTTTTCACTGTTTTCATCAGTTCATTACATTGACTTATAACAGGCAGAAACACAACATTTCTCAATATGTTACAAAATATGTGATTCACTTGTAGTGAAAATTATAGAATCAAGTCAGTAGTTTGAGTGTTAAAATGGCTTACCCCACCCAAAAAAAAAGTAAAATCGTATTTGGAAGTGCAGAAGTTTAATTCGTATGTTCATTGTCTTTTAATAATATAAGGCTATAACACACAACAGACTTTTGTTTTTTTTATGAGGATGTTTCAAAAGCTCCTGCTTTTTTAATTTTTAAATGATATTTCTCGATAAAAAAACTACACATCACCCTTTGTCGTTGATAGGAGAAGCTCTTCTACCTAGCATATAGCCTCAGGTGAAAACATTTGTTATGTTTTCTTAGTTGAAGTACATGATTTGCCTTCATACTCTTGAGAATTTTAATTGGTGTACTTTATAGGATGCTCATGATGGTGAAGTGAATGCAGTGAAATGGAGTCCCTCGGGCAAGACTGTTGTAACAGGAGGTGGAGACAGAAAGTTGAAGTTGTGGGACATAGGCCAGAGTAAAGACAGTAGTTATTTTGAAAATAAATGGTTGTAAAAGGCAATGAAAAGTATAATTTTGCACACAGTTATAATTTGTAGTCTTGTAATAAAAGAATCAAGAAAATATCAAGCTTATTTTACAAACTTGTTCTTGCATATTTTTGTAGCTGGTTATTGATTTACCTAAAAATCTTCATTTTGTATCCTGAAATATCTTCTATCTGATGGTTCAGTTATGTCCAAAAAAATCATAAAATACTTCATAGGCATATTACGTTAACCAAGGGCATCTTTTTGGATGTTATAACTAGAGCCTTTGTGGTGATATGTAAAGTGTTTTTATGTTTGGCTATTAATTCCTTTTGCCTTCATTGACAGCAGTTTTGTGCTCAATAATCATAAAAGTTATTTGTAATAAGGAAATATTTCATTTTAAAAGAAAATTTTCGGTCTCTTTTGAGGTTTCAATACTACTGTTTAAATCACCTTAGTAATATATTTTTGTTAATATATTTTAATATAATATATTTTTTCTTAGAGTTGACTGTAATAACAAGTATGTGTACTGATTTTTCTTTACATTAAATGCTTTTTCTTTAATTGTAAGGTTGCTTAGACACCTGTCTTTTATAAACAGAGTGTTCCACAGAGAAGTGATTTGTATTATTCGGTACATTGTCACTGGATGAAGGCTCTGATAAGAGGGTCAAAGGCTTGTAATTAAAGAAAAAGTATTTAATGTAGAGAACAGTCCGTTTATATTTTTTATATAACTAATTTACCTAGGAGTTTTAAAAATCAAGTATGAATGGCATACAAATAGCATGACAAACTTATTTACAAATTGATTTAAGAGAGAACTTGAAATCCAACTGCAAGTAAGTATTATACGTCTACATGCATAATGCATGTATTGTAACTTTATTGTTGTCTAAAGATATAAATGTTTTTACCAAGATTGCGTAAATCATTGGTTATTATAAAGATTTAAACATGACCTTAAGTCATCTTAGGAATATTTTCTTATATTAGTATGTTTACTCTTGAAATCATATGAGAACCTTATTTACATATTGTTTCAGTGGAACTTAAGGTAGAGTATACGTAGTAGGCTTGAGAACCTTAATGGACTGCAACTGCCTGTTGAAAGAAAAGAAGACATTTTGGTTTCTAAACTCTGAGGTCTTCTTCATGTATAAGAATCAAACATCTTCTTTTCTACCAACAAACAGATGCAGTCCATTAGTTTTCAAATCTGTTATTACATATTGATTTAAGAGTAAATCTGAAATATGACTGCAAGTATTACAAGTTTATTTATATACAGGGTGGGCCAAAAGTAGGGTTACAGTTAACACTTAAACATTTTTCCTTTATTAGAAATTTAGACATCTATTTACATACATTATATTTATATATTAGACATTTTACATTAAACATTTAATCTACATTTAATTTACATGTATATTTAAAACGTGATTGTGAAGGAGAAACAAATAATAGAGTAACTGTAACCCTACTTTTGGCCCACCCTGTATATATAGTGTGTGCCTTCTTAACTTTTATTCTTGTTTAAGGGTATGTGTTTTATCAAAAATAAATATTTTCAGTATGGTATATTATGTACTATGTATGATGGATCAATTACAGCTCAATAAAAATGTAAGGTATTCTTACACAACATTTATTTCATTTGGAAGTGTTAACTATCAAATAATTATGTTACCTGGATGATTTTATTTATTTTATTTTTTGAGTAAAGTGTCATCTACGAAATTAACTCTATGTCTAAATGGTGCTCAGAAATTAAAGCCACAGGAACAATTTTTTTTTTGAAGTAGTTTCTTGTTTAGTTGTGATTTCAAACTTTCAGTTAACTTCTCAGGCCACAGTTTGCATAGTTAACATGTTGTCACGTGTTGTAGAAAATTATATTGAAAAAACACTTTGTAAGATACAATAAACAAACATGTGGACTTTGAATTTGATTTGTGACTCTGTGTATGTATCTATATATATGTATATTTAGATATCATACATTGGCAATTTCTTCTGCAGAGGAAGCAGTTTTAAAAGGTACTTTAACTGGAAGTAATGCAGCTGTGATGTCTGTTGATTTTGAAACTGAAGTAAGTAACTTAAATGTTTAATATAAAACATTATAAAAGAGCGTGCACCAACAAAAAACTTGTAGTTTTGTGTAATAGTATTCTTTCTGTACATGTTCTATCTCTATATATTTGTTTTAAGAAACAAAGAAAATGTGGATGAAATATTTACAGATGTAACATGAAACTTTCACCTGCTGAATAGTTGATATTAGAGATATAATAAGTAGTGTTGTGGTTGGATACTGCATATCCGGAAAATTCCTTTGGCTGAATAACCAAATACTTGGCCAAGGAGTTGGTAGTATGTGTATTTAAATCAATAGCCAGTAAACAAGACATGCAAAGGCAAATATTGTTTGCAGTGCAGAACATTTATCTCTGATACAGACTTACTTGATGATTGCAATCGTGGCATGAAGGGTGATTCATTGATAACCCATGCGTTAATGATTTTGGTTAAACAGGTCATGGCAAAGAAGTTGCTGTTGCCAGTGAAACTAATTTCTGTTTATCTGTACTTAACAATCTAATCCACTATTATGGTAGCAGCTGAAAAAAAAAAGACATTTCTAATACTTTCTCAGTTAGCATGAAGATTCCTATCAGAAGTGGGCAATGTTTATGAGACAAAGAGAAACTGGATGCTTCCACAAAGTGGAAATAAGTTACTGTTCTTATGTTGCACTTTCTCATTCCTTCTTAACATTAAGTACTGAACAAGGACATCAGAATGACAAATCCTAATGAGAAAGTGGACATTGTAGTCTGCCTTCAATAAGTGATAAGTGTGATATACAATGAATCCTTATTATTCTGGACATCCAGGTGATTTTTCAGGTAGACTAATCTTCATAACAGAAAATTTAACCAGTAATCTATATATTTGTTTTCTGAATCTAAACAGCTATTTCTTATAGCAAACTTGCATTCTTATGGCAGCATGATTTAGTAATTTGTACTTGACTTCATAAAAGTCAAGTAGGAGTCAATCACAATAGGAAATTAAGTGGTAATTCGTTACTACAAAACACTTGCAACTCACAGTGGGAACTTGTTTTATAACAGGTTTCTTCGAATGAGAATGACCATCATTTTCTGTGAATGACAGTTTGTACTGAGAACAACCTTCACAGTAGGAATGTATGTATAAACTATAACAGATATCTAGATGCCATCAGAGTGATATTTGCTAAAGTCCTATCAGCTCAAAGTACTCAAACATGAAGAGTCATAGAAATGGCATTATTAAAATGGGATTTTTATGAAAGATGCAAAGCTATAAGTAAATCATTGGTTTGAACAAAATGATGGTTTATGCGAAGATAATGACATGCCACTGATTATGCAGTTTGTTTAACTAATTATTGACAATATATACAATAATAAAGCACTAAGTTTATTATAGTTGCTTTTTGTTTACTAGTTGCATGCTCACCCTTACTTGTTTTCTCTTTTACATTTATCAGTCAGTAATCCATACTGTTACTAGGGTCATTTGTATTCAAAGTGACTGATCCAAATATCTGGATGCTTTAATAATCCAGAAAAAATACTTCATTGCAAATGCATTGAAATTAGTGAGGTTTCACTGTACTTGTATGATTATAGTTTTCAAGATTGCAAAATGAAAAATATCTAGGTCTACTAAGTATTCTTTCTAACAACTAATTGATAAGAGTATTTTAATAAAAAAAAACAGTATCTTATGTTAAAACAACTTAAAATCAATATTATATTCCTTTAAGAAACTAGGGTTGCTAATGAATAATTATTTAGTAAAAGACTGAATAAAATATACTAAATTACACTGATGAACTAAAGTACGGTATCTACTTATTGCATGAAAAGTATTTCAAGTCATTTTAAGTTTAATGAGATCTATTTGTTTTCATTGAAAAGATATATGCACATAAATGTAAAACATGTTACTGATAATTAAGTTTATTACTTTTCTAATCTTTACTTTAAAAAATCAAATTTATTGTTATTACTCTTCTACATTATTTGTAATCTTTAGGACCTGTTGAATATCAAAGTACATCAGATGATGATGATTGTTATTAATATTCTTAAAATTATGTGCATTTTTCAATAAATGTTTATATAACTTGTTCTTGTTTTAGTTGAAGATTATGCTAAGCATATATTTATAGCTAGTAAAGATTTTTTATGTT